CAATACTCAAACCTATATGGACGTATGGAATATCACTGTTGGGAACAGCCAGCAATTCAAACCTGGAAATACTACAACGATTTCAGAACAAGGTTCTGAGAGAAATAGTTGATGCGCCCTGGTATGTGCCCAATACAGTGTTACATAAGGACTTAAGTGTATCTACAGTGCGAGAAGAAATTAAAAAGTGTAGTGCTAAGTACAGTCGGAGACTACAAGTACATCCAAACGAACTCGCAGCCTCACTACTAACCCATGAAGATGAAATTAGGAGATTAAAAAGATTCAAGCCATCAGACCTATCTGATAGATTTAGCTAGTTTTAAGTGTATACATGCCACAAATCTTAAGGCATCTACTGGGATAGCCTTATTAACACTGTTAATGACATAGTCACCTCGGTCACCAAAAGTGCTCATTGTCCTTAATTGCACAGATTGTATGAATCTATCTCAAATAATAATAAAAAAAAATGTTATGAATACGTATAAGTTTTGCTTTTCGTCAGCAAAAACTGACGGAGATATATGGCAATGAAATCCCACCATTCTTTTAGGAACACCCTGTATATATAAATGGACTGCTTCTATATCTGTGGTGACTGTCTTGCCTGTACGGATTGCTTGAGGTAATAATAAATCAAATCAAATCAATGCATAGCAGCGAACAAGTTGTTACCAGGTAAAAAGTTGCTAAACTAAAAGTTGCTAAAAAATCCTGACACCAGTGTAGCGTCTTTGTGTGTCACGCTACAAATAAGTTCACGCCGTGGTTTGATATAGCGAGTTTATTCTTATCGCTCGCCTTACACACACTTCACAATCATCTGCACTTGCAGGCTTACAATAACCGATCACAATATTCCGGCGATACTGGACTCAGACAGATATTCCGAAGTTTCTTCTCCAAAGGCTGTTCCGCGACTGACTTCTTCGAATGCTATTCCGAGACTCACTGTTTCGTGTCGAAGCTGGGCTATTTATATCCTTGCCCGCTGTTAGGCAATGAACCCTTTGTTATAACAGTGGAAACGTCGCTTTGTTGGCTCCGCGTTTCCTATGCAATAACCCATTGTTATCGCGTTGTCTCTGTGGGAACCTTCGCGTATTCTCGTAACCGTGGAGATTCGATGTTCTCGGTACAACGGCTCACTGTTGGGATTACAGTGCCGCTATTGTTACTTCCTATGTAACGGTCCATTCTAGCGTTTCCCTAGAAGTTACTCCTCTGGTTTGCCGACACGTTACAATAAGATCATGTGACAACCAACAGGACAACAAAGGACAATTAACTGTCTGACGTGGTGTCTTCTGTGAGGGTTGTGTGGAAGTTATAAAAGGCAGTGCACCTGTGAATCCAAGCCAGTGAGAGTAGAGAGATCAAAGTAGCAGCAGAGACCAGTCAGAGATTAGTGAGAGATTTGCAAGACAGATGTCATTAAGGAGGAATTCAATGTGTAAGCTGTTATAATCCAACTGTAATTGTAAAGAAGTGCCAATAAACCCAATCATCAAGTCTAGAACCCATTATTATTTGTCATGCCAACTCCTTATACATGACAATATGTTAACGCTTTAATATGGATCCATATTAATGTGTTAACATGTTCAAAAACTTATCACTATTGTTTCATGTATGCCTGAAGATTACCTAAAGAATGGTTGAAACATGTAGCATTAACATCTGCACCAATAAACGAATGTTGATACTGTAGCTTCTGGTTCATTTTCATTTCAATAATTTGTTGTGTTGACTATCCCATTTATATATTTACATTGAATACACACAAGATGCATACAATGAAAGTCATTTTAAATACATGTTTCGTAACTGTGAAAGTATTTGAGTATTAATAAAGCTGAAGAGTGTAAGGATATAGTGTTAAGTTTGTATTAGGTTAACTATTTTAATGTGTAATTTCTCTTGTTAGACATTATACTTGTTATATAATTCAATGGCATTTCAGATTGAATAAGAGCATACAATATACACTGACTCACTGTAACAAACACATTCTAGTTGTCTGAATACTGAACAAATTAGGAAATGGTATGTTTAAAGGTGATGGGTAAGTATCCACTGTGAGGTAACTTTGCATTAGAGCACAACATTTATGCATTGCTAGCTTTTTTAAGTGCCTTCTTCAGATGATGGTAGTTTGGCAAAACTTTGGTTAGGAAGTCCAACTGCAATGTTTGGGGCTGGAAAGAAAGTACCATGTTTTAGTTTTCTTATGACAGTAAACCTAAAATCACATATGCCAAGAGAGAGATGGGGTGAGGGGACACATGATTATGAAGATCTTCTATTTGACAAGAGATACATTTTTATCCACAGAAATTCTGATGAAGTAAATGGAAATTATTGCTCTGAATCAATGTCTTAGCCTCACATTTTTTTCAATGACTGGAATGTCTCTTTAGCCAAAATTTATTTCCTGTCTACCCACCATCTGTCCCCCTCAGCAGCTGAACTCAAGATGACACTGGATGCCAGTTCACATTCAAACCATTAACAGTACCTACACTGATTACTACAGAAATTAATAAAGCTAAGCTGTAAAATTAAATAAATGAACTTAATAATTAGTAAATATATTTAAAAAATTATATTTACACATAGCATTGTTAGAATAATCAAATCTAGGAGGTTACAGTGGGTTTGGCATGTTGCCAGGATCGGAAGGACTAGAAATGTATATACGTTCTAATACTCTATGGAGCCAGGATAGCGTAGTCGGTAGAGTGATTGGCTATGGGCTGGATGACCAAGGGGTTGGAGTTTGAGTCCTGATAGGGTCAAGAATCTTTTTTTCTCCATGTCTTCCAGACCAGCTCTGGGTTCCACTCAGCTTCCTTTCTAATGGGTACTGGGGGCTCTTTCACCAGGGGTAAAACAGCTGGGGTGTGAGGCTGACCACTCGCACCTCCAGCAAGTGCTGAGGCTAAGAAAATGTGGATCTACACATCCACTCAACCATATGCCTTCGTGGCATAATGCTTAACTTAATGTCCATTATTTATCGTCTGTCAATATTGCAACACTTTTTTATTCACTACTTAATTTTAATTTTAGTTTAACATTATGCACTTTGACACTACATGTTTCGGCCCCAAACAGCCATCTTCAGGTGTCTTGATATGTTACAAATATTTTACTAAATTATGTTAAAACTGCTACACTGTCTTAGTCCATGTTAAAATCACGCTGTAGCCCCAAGGTAAAACCAGATAAAATCCTTTAAAGTTTCTATTATACCCACGTCATTTTGGTGCATATTATTTCGCCTCACACGGGGTGTCATCCATTATTCATAAATGTATGTCTGTCCAGGGTGTTTTGTTTATATGCCTGTTTCTTCCACAGCGTGTGTTGTTGTCTTTACTTTGTCTTTACAGGCATATAAACAAAACACCCTGGACAGACATGCAAACCAGGGGCATCTGGCAGTCATAACTGAAAAGTAGACTATGAACATGGGGGGCAAGGTGCCGAAACAAAACACCCTGGACAGACAGTCATTTATGAACAATGGACGACACCCCGTGTGAGGCAAAATAATATGCACCAAAATGACGTGGGTATAATAGAAACTTTAAAGGATTTTATCTGGTTTTACCTTGAAAGAGGACTATAGCGTGTGATTTTAACACGGACTAAGACAGTATAGCAGTTTTAACATAATTTAATAAAATATTTGTAACATATCAAGACACCTGAAGATGGCCATCTGGTGCCAAAACATGTAGTGTCAAAGTGTATAATGATAAATTAAAACTAAGTAGTGAATAAAAAAGTGTTGCAATATTGATGGACGATAAATAATGGACGTTTAGTTGAACAATTGCAACGGGATGCTGAAATACAGATTCATAATGCTTAATTACTTAAGCACAGGGACAACTTTACCTTCACTACACTGGTGAAATGTGCTTTGGAAGAATAACATTAAGATGGAGCTGACAGGATGTGCAAACACAGCATCCATGAAACTGAGTATCATATCCTCGGTATTAATAGTGCTTAATATTCTGCTATAATAGTGTTAGGGAATCAATTACTCTGTTAGTGTATAAATTTAAACTACCAAAAAGGAAAACATTATGACAATATGAAAAATATCCGAGCAAAGACAGGATTAACATTTATGATAAGCCATTTGCACATGACAAAAGATACAAGCACTACAATATACTAATAGCAACAATATATGTAATAATTACAAGACTTTCAAGGGTAAGAATGAAGCATACAAAAATGAGAATTGTTTAACTTTACTAAATGGAGTGACAAAAATGTCACATATTGACAGCATTTGTCCATTGGCAAAAAATAATCTGGGCACTGTTTAGGTTGTTTCCATAAATCTGGAACACAAAGCATGACGAGAAACTCCCTGCCCTTCACTGAACCTAAACATGCATCAACATGAGCCTGCTAAGTGCAAAGTCCTGTGTAATGGTAACATGTGAGGATTTGTTAACACATTACCTAACCTCCTCTCAACTGTCTATGACTGCTTATCTGACATGCGTACAGCTATACTACATACTGTTGACTATCTCTTCGATCCACTGCCTACGGATGTGACTAGTGACCTACTTAACACGGTCTAAACAATAAAATGAAGCAGTGTGGCACTGATATTACTGACTGTTGATATAACTTACTGGTGGCCTATCAGCTTGCTGACGGCGTGAACATTTGCTGCCAAATATTACAGTATTCTGAGGAACAATTTCTGGATACGTCAACTGGCATGCTGCACCCACAATACACCCATTTGTCAGCTCCACTTGTCGTCCAACAAAGGCTGAAATTTTAATTCAGATTCATTACAGGTAAGGGGTCAAGCATGAATAATCACAGTCACAACAAGTGCATTATAATAATACTGAAAATAGTAAATACTAGGTGGTTCAAATATGACCGGGACTGATTTTTTTAAAAACAAACATAATTGCCAAACACTTACTTGCATATATCGGTCTTCAACGTACTCCC